ACCACGTTCAGACTGCTGCTAGCTAGCCTAGGCTACAAGCAATCTCCGCCTATATTTGTGGTCTGGGTTATTTGCGTCACTTTCGTGACTGAATTTTAGTGTTTGTGCCATTTTGGCTTGATGCTTCCATCCGAATCAAACCGCTCGTCCTGTTGTCACTGGTGCATGTCTTCCTTCTTCTTTCTTGGTGTTTCCTGTTTGTTCTGTCTCCCTTTGATCTGGCTAGGCGTATCTCGAAGGAGAGCGAGCTTCCATACACAACGTCCTTTGGACCACCATTTATTGTTTTAAAATTTTGAGTATTTAAATTATGCCAAAAAGTACTGAAAACAGTTTTTGAATTTGAATAGTTCCGAAATGTGAAAATGTTCCGCGTGTGACCATGTGGTCCTATAGTTGTCTTTCTGTAATATGAACGGGTTAGTCATGTAATGGATATGTATGTGAGAGTTTATGTGGAGATTTAAGCGGGTCCAGTCGTCATCTGTTATTATGTACAAGAGACAGATACATGGCTATAACGGTTATATTAGAGACTTATGATTGGCTATACCGGTTCTACAAGAGACAGATGAATGGCTATAACAGTTCTACATGAGACAGATGAATGGCTATACCGGTTCTACAAGAGACAGATGAATGGCTATAACAGTTCTACATGAGACAGATGAATGGCTATAACGGTTCTACAAGAGACAGATGATTGGCTATAACAGTTCTACAAGAGACAGATGAATGGCTAAAACGGTTCTACAAGAGAAAGATGATTGGCTATAACGGTTTTACAAGAGACAGATGAATGGCTATAACGGTTCTACAAGAGACAGCTGATTGGCTATAACAGTTCTACATGAGACAGATGAATGGCTATACCGGTTCTACAAGAGACAGATGATTGGTTATAACAGTTCTACATGAGACAGATGAATGGCTATACCGGTTCTACAAGAGACAGATGAATGGCTATACCGGTTCTACAAGAGACAGATGAATGGCTATACCGGTTCTACAATAGACAGATGAATGGCTATACCGGTTCTACAAGAGACAGATGAATGGCTATACCGGTTCTACAAGAGACAGATGAATGGCTTTACCGGTTCTACAAGAGACAGATGAATGGCTATACCGGTTCTACAAGAGACAGATGAATGGCTATAACAGTTCTACAAGAGACAGATGATTGGCTCAAACGGTTCTACAAGAGACAGATGATTGGCTATAACAGTTCTACATGAGACAGATGAATGGCTATACCGGTTCTACAAGAGACAGATGAATGGCTATACCGGTTCTACAAGAGACAGATGAATGGGAATAACAGTTCTACAAGAGACAGATGATTGGCTATAACGGTTCTACAAGAGACAGATGAATGGCTATAACAGTTCTACAAGAGACAGATGATTGGCTATAACAGTTCTACAAGAGACAGATGATTGGCTATAACGGTTCTACAAGAGACAGATGATTGGCTATAACGGTTCTACAAGAGACAGATGAATGGCTATAACAGTTCTACAAGAGACAGATGATTGGCTATAACAGTTCTACAAGAGACAGATGATTGGCTATAACGGTTCTACAAGAGACAAATGATTGGCTATAACGGTTCTACAAGAGACAGATGATTGGCTATAACGGTTCTACAAGAGACAAATGATTGGCTAAACCGGTTCTACAAGAGACAGATGATTGGCCAAACCTGTTCTACATGAGACAGATGAATGGCTATAACGGTTCTACAAGAGACAGATGATTGGCTATAACAGTTCTACAAGACCAGATGATTGGCTAAACTGTTTCTACAAGAGACAGACGATTGGCTATAACGGTTCTACAAGAGACAGATGAATGGCTATAACAGTTCTACAAGAGACAGATGATTGGCTATAACGGTTCTACAATAGACAGATGAATTTCTATAACAGTTCTACAAGAGACAGATGATTGGCTATAACGGTTCTACAAGAGACAGATGATTGGCTATACCGGTTCTACAAGAGACAGATGATTGGCTATAACAGTTCTACAAGAGACAGATGATTGTCTATATAGGTTCTACAAGAGACAGATGATTGTCTATATAGGTTCTACAAGAGACAGATGATTGTCTATATAGGTTCTACAAGAGACAGATGATTGTCTATACAGGTTCTACAAGAGACAGATGATTGTCTATACAGGTTCTACAAGAGACAGATCATTGTCTATATAGGTTCTACAAGAGACAGATGATTGTCTATATAGGTTCTACAAGAGACAGATGATTGTCTATATAGGTTCTACAAGAGACAGATGATTGTCTATATAGGTTCTACAAGAGACAGATGATTGTCTATATAGGTTTTACAAGAGACAGATGACTGGCTAAACCGGTTCTACAAGAGACAGATGAATGGCTATAACGGTTTCACAAGAGACAGACGATTCGCTATACCGCTTTCACAAGAGACAGATCATTGGCTATACCAGTTCCACAAGAGACACATCATTGGTTAGACCGGTTCTAAGATTGGCACCATGGTAGAGACCGAGGCTCCGTTAGGTAACATTCTCAGAGATAACAGTGGTAATTTGTAGATAACCTTCATTGTGGAGACGGCAGGCATGTTTCAAGTTTCAACACTGCACTCTGAGTCCCTTATTAACAGGAATTTAGTTTTACACGAACTCTTTTTTCCCGTCCCTTTTAGTTTGACTTAACCAGTGTTCAACCTCGATTTGTTGTTATCATCTTTAATTGTGACACAATAGACTGTCCTATATATGAGACTATTGGCAGACTCTGAAAAATCTCCTGATTTGGAAAACTGATCCTTTCCTCACTCGATGTAGGATATGGGTAACAACTTCTCTTCATAGATAAATCATTATTGACATAAATTTGTAGTTTAGCCGTAAAGCGACGTCGGGAGGAACAATTTGTAATCCATAGTATGACGGGCATTAATGCTATTGTCCATCGGTGTCGATCCAAAAGCTATTTGATGCTTTCAAACCACTTCCTTCTAAGGCAACCTTTTGCTTTCATATAAGATCTTGCAATATGTAGTTGATAGTTGTTTTGGCTGCGTTATAACGAGATGACCAAACCATTTCATCTTTCTTGATAGGTTGATTTCTGTAAAGAATCTTCGTTGCTTTGTGTGTGTGTGGGGGGGGGCGCTGATGCAGGCGCAAGGTGTAATTGATACTGGCATATAGAACCATAATTATAATCGTATATTGAACCACATCTTATCTTTCTTCTGTGGAATCACATCTGATCTTTTATTTTTCTGTAGAAGCACATCTAATCATTCTTTCAAAGGAGTCACATCTTATCGTGTGTTTTTTTATCTCAACATGCACATATAAACCCTCTCCCCAACTCTCTCTCTCTCTCTCTCTCTCTCTCTATTTATATATATATATATATATATATATATATATATATATATATATATATATATATATATATATATACATACATAAAATACACGTATGTGGGTGTGTGTGTGTTTGTAAAAATAGTTGACGTCTGCAGATTAGGAATCAGAACTGACTGCACCACACAATCCACATTAGCTGGGGGAGAGAACGATATACTTTCAGACCAGAGGTCGGGGAAATGCAGCAGCCAACCGTAGGCAAAAACAAATACCTTGCCAAAACTAGAACAGTCGGGCCGCCTATCAGGCATACTAGGCATGATATATATATATGTATCAGGTGCAGTATGGCCGATAGGCTTTAGTGGATGTATGTGTGTATTATCCTTTAGTTATACATCACACAGGACTCGCAATCCAGCTTTCCAGTGCATTCTATGATGTGCTATCCTTATCGAATCCAGTTCAGCACTCCTGGCTTCTCCAAACACCATCTCTTGGGGTTTCTCTTGGACGTGGTTGCTTCCCCGGTCCTTCTGTTTCCCATTTCAGTTCTTATGTTTTGATTGTCTGTGTACATAACGAAAACATACATGGAAGGGGAAGCAGTAGGAAAAGGGATGTGGAATGGGGGGGGCGCCTCAGAACACTAACTATCAGAAAACGGGCTAAAGATTGTTGAAAACAATGCACTTTGTAAGCCACTACAAATCTGTCATCGGAAGGTGTCTGCCTGCTTGTGACTGGGGATTTTAAGGACAAACATGCGGTCACAGAACTGCTTTGTACACCATACAAGTTGAATCAAATCACAGAAAGGTCGAAACCCTAAGGCTTTTGATTTAGCATCAAGACCGTTCCAGAAGGTTGCAGAGGATATAGTAGGTCCATTAAATTAGGTGTCACACAAAAGGAAAGAATAAATCCTGACATTGGTTAATTTGTGTGCGCGATGGCCCGATGCTGCCCCATTGCAAAACATAACTTTAGAAGATGTAACCAAAGTTTTCTGCCATTTCTTTTTTTTTAGAATAAGCTTTCCAGATGTTATCCTGGCTGACAGGGTGACATAATTCATATCTGTAGCGACACAGGCAGTCCGCAAATTGATGGGCATTCAGCAGCGCTTCACAAGCCCATAGAATCCACCAGCTGATGGTGTCTGTGAGAACCTAAATGGAAGTTTCCAACGCATGTTGGCAAAGGTGACAACAGAAGTTCCAGGAGGTTGGGATGTTCTTTTACCAGCAATTATGTTCGCTTACAGAGGGTTCCCCAGCTTCGAACTGGTATGTGGTTCTAGCCCCGTGGACCATGGACTTCTCTTAGGACAACAACAACAACAAAGAGAGCACAGAAGCCTGTTAGACCTAATTAATTACTACAACCGTTGCATACTCAAATTATCAGAGTTAACCAACATCTGTTCGAAATTGCTACAGGAAGGACAGCATACTAACATAAAACAGAGTCCCGAACTAGATTCAGCAGAACTACACAATAACGCACTGTTCTCTCAGACACCGATCCTAAACCTACCTAATCAACACTTGCCTTTTGTTCTTAGAAATGACGCAAGTACTGTCTTAATCTCGGGAGTGCTGTGAGTGTTGTGTCCACGTGTGCATGTTGTGTCCACGTGTACGTGTTGTGTCCAGGTGTACGTGTTATGTCCAGGTGTACGTGTTGTGTCCAGGTGTACGTGTTGTGTCCAGGTGTACGTGTTATGTCCAGGTGTACGTGTTATGTCCAGGTGTACGTGTTGTGTCCAGGTGTACGTGTTGTGTTCACGTGTGCGTGTTGTGTCCAGGTGTACGTGTTGTGTCCAGGTGTGAGTGTTGTGTCCAGGTGTACGTGTTGTGTCCAGGTGTACGTGTTGTGTCCAGGTGTGAGTGTTGTGTCCACGTGTGCGTGTTGTGTCCACGTGTACGTGTTGTGTCCAGGTGTACGTGTTGTGTCCAGGTGTACGTGTTGTGTCCAGGTGTACGTGTTGTGTCCAGGTGTGAGTGTTGTGTCCAGGTGTGCGTGTTGTGTCCAGGTGTACGTGTTGTGTCCAGGTGTGAGTGTTGTGTCCAGGTGTGAGTGTTGTGTCCAGGTGTGAGTGTTGTGTCCAGGTGTGAGTGTTGTGTCCAGGTGTGAGTGTTGTGTCCAGGTGTACGTGTTGTGTCCACGTGTGAGTGTTGTGTCCAGGTGTGAGTGTTGTGTCCAGGTGTGAGTGTTGTGTCCAGGTGTACGTGTTGTGTCCAGGTGTACGTGTTGTGTCCACGTGTGAGTGTTGTGTCCAGGTGTGAGTGTTGTGTCCAGGTGTGAGTGTTGTGTCCAGGTGTGAGTGTTGTGTCCAGGTGTGAGTGTTGTGTCCAGGTGTGAGTGTTGTGTCCAGGTGTACGTGTTGTGTCCACGTGTGAGTGTTGTGTCCAGGTGTGAGTGTTGTGTCCAGGTGTGAGTGTTGTGTCCAGGTGTGCGTGTTGTGTCCAGGTGTACGTGTTGTGTCCAGGTGTACGTGTTGTGTCCACGTGTGAGTGTTGTGTCCAGGTGTGAGTGTTGCGTCCAGGTGTAAGTGTTGTGTCCAGGTGTGCGTGTTGTGTCCACGTGTGAGTGTTGTGTCCAGGTGTGAGTGTTGTGTCCAGGTGTGCGTGTTGTGTTCAGGTGTGGGATCACTTAGAGAACCCCAAAACACCTGAGGGTGTCGTCCCACATCCAGAATCGTGTGTGTCTGTGTGTAGGTTTGTGTGTTTATATTGTGTATTTCTCTGTTGTTGTATGTGTGTACTTGTTTAATAATGAATTTTCCTCTGTGCTAGTTTGTGTGTGGTTGTGTTATCTTGTATATGTTTGCGTGTATATTTGTGTGTGTCTCTGTAAGTATGTTTGGATGCCTGTTTAGATCTTTAACACACACACACACACACACACACACTATTGCTGGATTTAGACATAAGCTAACAAAACTACAACTCAGGGCTTCACCGCGAGCAGGCCTCCACAAACTCCTATGTGTTTTTATTTACAAATGCAGTTTCTTTTGTTAGAGATTTTCGGAGGATTATACAACATAATGTATGTTATTTTGGAAACACATTCTTTACTATTTCTTGTACTAAAAATTAAATGACAATATATTTCCATCACTTACATATTTCAAAGGCGCATATTTTGTATAGTTTTTTGTTTTTGTTTTTTTTGGAAGTTGAAAGCGTCATCAAGTCTAAATCCAGCCTTGACACACACACACACACACACACACACACACACACACACACACACACACATGCATACACACACGCGCGCGCGCGGGCACCTATGCTCAGTCACAAAGTATTGCTTTGACCCATGATACAGTTCACAACTCTTTATTCTTCAAGAAAATGTACACTAGTCAAATCAAACCTTTATTTGCTGCTCAGTTTCATCGACATTTTAAAAGACATTGACTTATTATCATCTATTTACTTTAAATTTTATTAAATAAAGTTTACTAATCGAGTCACTATAATGATATAAATGTCTTTAAAATTAACTGATAATTTTTCACATTTAATAATTTAGAGAAAGTTACTTTATAATGTCATTCAATTTATTTTAAACGAAAGGGACACAGACTTGTATTAATTTACTAAGAAATATTTTTTATGGGATTTTTTTTTAAATTAAGGAAATGTGCCCATAAATATGGAATAAATCTGGCAATCTTTAGAAAAAAAATATAGTAAAAGTAACGTTTTGCAAGGAATGAAGTGTACACATTTTGGAAGACTAATTTTAGAAATGAAAACTGCCCTAAAAATAATGGCTCAAGAGTTTAGAATTAGGTAAACAACACCCAGGTTAGAGAGAGAGAGAGAGAGAGAGAGAGAGAGAGAGAGAGAGAGAGAGAGAGAGAGAGAGAGAGAGAGGATACAACAGCAAGGTGGTGTTGGTCTGTGCCTAATTGATAGCAGAACAGACGAGTGCCTGAAACAATAATCCTCTTGTTACCAGTCTGTTATATCTCTTAAATGTATCAGTGACATCATTACCCACAAGAAAAGCTACTACAGAAAGTGAACTTCAACATCTACAGTCTGAGGTCATGAGTGCAATAGTTTTTAGAATGACCACAATAATGGCAAAGACATCATTTGGAGTCTGCTCTATATAAAGGAGTACATTGGTTGTCCGCCTCTCTAGCTTACGCCTTGCATGTTTACCATCGCCCTTCTCCGCTGATTATAAAATAATCTCAAAGTCTGAAGGACAAATCTGTACTCCGTTACTTAGCCTTAACAATGATTTTTACTAACGTGTATCCCCGGGGGAGGGGAAACCTACACCAAAAAATGTTGCCCTAGCACACTTTTTCATTATGATTTTAATATACACTTTACATCAAAAATTAAGCCCTTGTTAAGATCGTCAGCGAGAATTAGAAGCGTTCATGAATCCCAGTTTACGGGAGGTCCTGAAGTTAGTAAAGAATTCGTAGAATAAAATGACTGGCAGCAGTGTTACAAATGCACTAGCAGCAGGCTACATGGATGAGAAATGCTCATTTCGAAAAAGCTTTACTGTCGTTGTTGCGAGGCTGGGGCCAATGGTCAGCGGGAAATTGAGTTGAAAGAAATGCAAACTTAAGGATTTGGACCGTTATGTCGTTGTTGCCAAAAAAGATCAAATGACGGATTTTTAATAAATGTAAAATTTTCTATCTAAATAAAAACATTCTTTAAAAAAAAAAACATTAATGTATTGTTATGCAAAAATCAATTTAATAATTTCACTAAAAGACCTGGTCTTATTTTCTGGGGAAACATATCTGCTGTATGCGTTTGTCTGCAATTTTGGGCCATACGTGTCGTCTTATCACTGCACAATGCAAGTCATGTCTGAATACCTGCAGTGATAAAACTATAAAGGGTCTTGGACCAGATTTGTGGATGACCATTGACGTTTTGTAATACTGATGGCAGCGATGTGTGGCAGATAGATTGTCTCAGATAATAATGATGGCAGGGACGTGTGGCAGATAGATTGTCTCAGATAATACTGATGGCAGGGATGTGTGACAGATAGATTGTCTCAGATAATATTGATGGCAGGGATGTGTGGCAGATAGATTGTCTCAGATAATACTGATGGCAGGGATGTGTGGCAGATAGATTGTCTCAGATAATACTGATGGCAGGGATGTGTGGCAGATAGATTGTCTCAGATAATATTGATGGCAGGGACGTGTGGCAGATAGATTGTCTCAGATAATACTGATGGCAGGGACGTGTGGCAGATAGATTGTCTCAGATAATACTGATGGCAGGGACGTGTGGCAGATAGATTGTCTCAGATAATACTGATGGCAGGGACGTGTGGCAGATAGATTGTCTCAGATAATACTTATGGCAGAGATGTGTGGCAGAAAGATTGTCTCAGATAATACTGATGGCAGGGACGTGTGGCAGATAGATTGTCTCAGATAATACTGATGGCAGAGATGTGTGGCAGAAAGATTGTATCAGATAATACTGATGGCAGAGATGTGTGGCAGATAGATTGTCTCAGATAATACTGATGGCAGGGATGTGTGGCAGATAGATTGTCTCAGATAATACTGATGGCAGGGATGTGTGGCAGATAGATTGTCTCAGATAATACTGATGGCAGGGATGTGTGGCTGATAGATTGTCTCAGATAATACTGATGGCAGGGATGTGTGACAGATAGATTGTCTCAGATAATACTGATGGCAGAGATGTGTGGCAGATAGATTGTCTCAGATAATACTGATGGCAGGGATGTGTGGCAGATAGATTGTCTCAGATAATACTGATGGCAGAGATGTGTGGCAGATAGATTGTCTCAGATAATACTGATGGCAGGGATGTGTGGCAGATAGATTGTCTCAGATAATACTGATGGCAGAGATGTGTGGCAGATAGATTGTCTCAGCGGTAGGTACCTTTTCTCAGTATGATGTTCGTTTTTGAAACGCCGCCATTTAATGAGCCAACTTTGTTTTTTTCTTTTGCTGCTTATTCCGCTCGCATACGGTGTCGCCTGATGCGGTCGCATCCAAGTATCATAGCTTGGCATGGCCCTGATTGATGGTAACACAAGAAACAACATCTGCAACTCTGCTTTTATTGTACAGGTATTTGTCCACATACATGAAAAATTCAGTTTTTTTGTTATAGTAATATGGTGCAGACAGAAGGTGTTGTTGTTGTAGTAGTACTTGTGGTGGTGGCGGTGGTGGTTGTGGTGGTGGTGGCAGAAATAGTAGTGGTAACAACAGCAAGAGTAACATTTTAGGAGTAGTGAAAGTATAAGTACTAATATTGGTATCTGTTGTTGTTATGTTGCAGTGTCGGCAGTTCTACAGTATTTTGTACATAAAATAACCAACATCAACTAAATATTTGTTGAAGTTGTAGTCTCTGGTGTGCCATTTTCCCTCCAGCGCGTGCTCTACTCTAGCCTCGGTCTGAGTCAGTCGTCATGGAAACGCCAGGTTGTCCTGAAGAGACTGTAAGATAAACATAATGTTAGCGACTAGGGTCAAGGTTTGTGTGTTGGATGGGATGTTTGGCAAAAACTGCTGTAAATTACATATGATGCTAGAGATAATAAAAATAAGGGTATGAGGGATGAGATGTCTGTCAAGGGGGCAGCTTGTTCATTATGGTGTCAGAGACCAGTGGGGAGGCGTATCAGCTCGTCGCACATGTAAGCGTTTGCAGAGAACGGTTACAGTATAGAGTTATCGCGTGATATTTCCTTCCCTCCTCATCGCTGTTAAATGTATGTGTGCGCAGATAGTATCGTCATAATAGTAACTGTTATCTTTTCACACGTTATAATTTCTGTATGAGTGGCGCAAGCATGCAGTGATCGTTTGTTTAGCTATGTTCGAGGAGGTATAAACCGTGTGGTGTATGTGCAATAACAGGTAACAATTGGTTATAACTAGTAAAATAATGCACTTGTCTCTGGCTAGGGGACGTGCAAGCCGCAGTAACAGCCGTTACACGCACGACTCACCACTGTAATAGAGACAAACCTGGTGTGTGTCGTATGAGATGGTTATTAAACAGCTGTAGGGTACTAG